AGCTCCTTTTTGGGGTTCATATTTAGAATCCTATTAGGTAATCAAAAGGAACTACTATGGGGCCTATGGGTAAATAGTATAAACATTGGTCATTTTAGGGACTACATGAAGGCCAAAGTTACGTTTTTGGGTACATGGATCCTTGGAAACATGCCCACATTCCTAGCCTGAGAGCAACTTCAGTCACGCTGATTGCTCAATTCGCATGTGGGTAGTTGTCTAAATTAGGTTCCCTTTGGGGGTCCTTTTCATGAGGGTGCCGTAATGTATTGGGACCTAAAGGGACCCTAATTTAAGAGAACTACCCATGTATACGCATGCTCAAAGTGTCCTACATCTCATAACCCTCAACCAACAGCCGGAGCCCTTGCCTGAAGGGCTAGGCTCAAATCACCAGCACTGACCCCAAACCCCGAAAACTCCAAATAAACCGTAAACTACAGCACCCTTATATAACTATAACCCCAAGCCCCCAAATCCCCATCGCCAAACCCTAAATTCTAGATCCCTACGGTGCCCGTATAAGCCGTACATCGCAACTCCCCTCGCAACCTTTCTAGTACCCGAAAAACCTCAACCCCAAACCCCACACCCTAGACTCTTTTTGCAGCCCAGAAACCCTAAACCCTAAACCCTAAACCCCTAAACCCCTAAACCCTAAACCCTAAACCTATAAAACCCTAAACCAAAGTAGCCCCAAGGCCCCCCTCCCCCAAAGAAGCGCGCCGAGAGCCGCGGGTAGCTTCGGCCTTGCGGCTATCGCCTTTGGGAACACGGCCACTACCGAGGCCTGAGCTGCGGGTTTAGGGTTTAGGGTTTAGGGTTTAGGGTTTAAGGTTTAGGGTTTAGGGTTTAGGGGGGCAGGATGTGGGCTCATAGAGCTCTGGGTTTGCTCTTCGGATGGGTTTAAGGGATGTTAGGGGTCTATGAGCTTGAAAGGATATAGAGTTCAGGATTTGAGGGGCTTAGGGTTTCGGGCTTCGGGATTTGGGGGTTTACGGCTTTTCGGATTATAAGTTCTGACGGATTTGATTTAGGGCTAAGGGCCTACACGGGGTTATAGGGTTTGGGATTGGAAGGGGGGGAAGGTTTAGGGCTCATAGAGCAAAGGGTTCGGGGTAAACACCTCTTTAACTCAAGGGGTACTCAAAGGGCTACTACAAGGCTTCGAAAGAGGTTCAGTTGCAAAGTTTGCCAATGAATGGCCCTTATGGACGCCATGTGACTAATCTTCAAGGTTTGCGTGCATGTTGCCCCTTACTGCAGAAGTGCGCGGAGGAGCGCACATCTCGTGCACTCTCAGGCCGCAGCGATTCCAAGCCAGGCTCAATCGCCGGACGCCACCCTCGAAGCACTGCACAAATTTGGAGTTTAGGGTTTAGGGTTTAGGGCTTAGTGCAAAGAGTTTCATCAAATTTCTCTGGTTTGAACACATCTCGTTCCGCAGTTTCGAGGGAGGAGGAGGAGGCCTGTGTTAATGCAAAGGTCTGACAAAGACTATCCCTAACCATCCAGGTACCTACTATATAGGGACCTAGGGGCTCTAGTACCCTATACAGTAGGTACCTGGGAGGTTAGGGTATGATCATCTTGAGGATCCCCTTGCAACATGGCTGGCTATGGCTGCAAAAACATAAGTTTGTTAGTCTCATGAAGGCCGGATGCATTCTGGACATTGTGGCTTAGGGTTTAGGGTTTAGGGTTTAGAGTTTAGGGTAAGCAGGCAGAACTGTTGCAGGATGTGACAGAAACTTGAAAAACGCCACCAATTCTCCATCAATGATCAGATTGGTGCGTCCACGCCTGCTGGTCCTCATCACCAAAGCTGGCGTTCTGGTGCAATCCATCCAGAAACGCCTCTCGACTGCGGGCGGGGGGTTGGGGGGGGGGGGAAGTTACCCGGACGAACAACACCCTCAAACTCGGATAACTAGCTGTCAAAATTGCTCTTATGTGCGCACCGCTATGTAGAGTGGATACCATGTATTCATGTATTGTAGTACATAATAGGGACGTAGAGATCAAGAGCGAGAGAGAGGGAGAGAGAGAGAGAGAGAGCGAGAGAGAGCGAGAGAGAGAGAGAGAGATAGAGAGAGCGAGAGTGAGTTACGTGCATACATCCATGCATCAGCCTGACCGGAGTCAATGGAGTTACCAGGGTGCCAAGATACAGGCATTACGTTATGCGATGCAAGGTAGAGACGACATCAGTTCAAGGAAGGACCCCACGCAAATACTTGGACCTAACCCAACTCGAGCGTAAGCAGCCTCCGCACCGTCCCCATGGAGCGCGTTCCAGTTGAGGTCTAAGATCCTCAACTGGTTGGCCCGTACCTGATGAACTGCTTCGAAGAGGGGCTCACGACCACTGAATGAGCAGTCTTCCTCAAGTCATGCAGGATCCAACTACACTAATATAAGTTCACTAAGTATACCTTGTGCGGCGTCCAATATTCAAGAGGTTCTCACTTCCGAGAAGCTCTGGACGGAAGCTCTCAGCGGGCTTGTCATTCGGGACGGCGCAGCCAGTTTGTAGAAAACGTCTGTTTCGAAAGTCTAAAAAAAACATGATGGTCTAGATGGACGGATGGATGGACGATGGTATAAACAACGGCAATGATGAACAAACACAAGGGGTCATGCCACAGACGTTCATAATCACTTATTCGCAACCCTGGGCAGCATGAGCAGATAGCGGCAGAAACATGTTCATTCGTGGAAAGAAGAGAGTGAGCCACCAGAACAGAAAACGAAACTACACAAAGCCTGGTTCAAGTTTCAAACGGCTTGTTGACATGCCATGGTGTCGAGACGACCGTCGTAACAACATTTCCTTTGCCATGGCATAGACGCTGCTCATGCTCATCAACCCCAGCATCTACATTTCTGTACACATTACATACTCCTGACGCGACCACAACTGCCGTCCACATCCAGAAGCATCAACATATGTAACTGCCACAGGTTATCTTCACCATCGCCGATCGCCAACGACAAACACCACGATGACCGGCAGACTCACCTGCAGCCTGAGTGCCTTCAGCATTGCGATCAGTGGGTTCCTCCGCATGTTCTTGGGGGCTATCGTCCTGACAAACATCGGCAACATCTGCATAGCGGAGCAATCGCGTACAGTGACGTCAACATCAGCATCGTCATCCTTCCCCGCAAGAACAACACCGTTCTCACCGACACGACGAAGACAAAAAGCTTTGCTAGACCGCAACAGCCGCAGTCATCCGCTCACTGAGCAGAAACCTTTTCATAACCACAAAGCAACCCTGGGATCCTTTGTGGTAGCCCGTAAATCCAGGAGCCCACTCAAACTAATCTAAACTACCATTACAGTAGCAGCTATAGTAACCCTTCGAAACCTAAATCCATGCCCTTCACACGAAGCCCCATCAATCCCTACACCCCTAAAATCCTGAAACCTGAGCCCATGCACCCAAACCCTGCTAGAAGCTTAGAACAAGCGAGAGTAGTAGCCCTGAACACCCTAAACCCATTCAATCAAACCGAAACCACTGCTGCCCCCGTATTGCAAACCATCGAAACCTAAACCATAAAGCCTCTAACGTCTGAAAGCCTGCAATGAATCCTAATCCCTATCGCACCCTCAAAACCCAAAACCAGTAGAATCCTAAACCATTGAAGCCCGAGCCAGGTGAATCAAATCCAAGGTGAAGCCTAACCCTGAGGGTCCATGTACCTAAATAGTATATACATTGGTCCTAAAGTACCTAAATAGGGACTACCTTAAGGCCAAAGTATACGTATTTGGGTACATGGACCCTTAGGGTAACCTCTATAGTAAATCCAAACCTGAAGCACGCAACACTTCCAACCCCTACAACCCCAAACACTTCAAAACCCTAAACCCTAAACCCTTGAAGACCCTTGAAGCCTTAAGCCAATAAAACAAACCCAAAACGCTTCAAGCATGTCAAAGCCTTCACACTGAATGCTATTGATGTTACCTATAGTTCAACAGATTCTGTTGTACCATGTTCTAAACCCTTAACCCTAAACCCCAAAACCCCAAAACCCCAAAACCCTGAACCCTAAACCCCTAAACCCTAAACCCTAAACCCTAAACCCCTAGACCCCTAAACCCCTGAACCTAAACCCATGTACTAGATGATATGGGGGTTTTCGAAAATGGGGGTCCCTAGTATAGTACCCTAAATAGTAGGATCCTTATTATAAGGACCCCAAAATAAGGTACCCCCAATTTTCGGAAACTCCCAGATGATATTCCAAGCCCGAGCAGCGAGGAAGCCGCCCAGGGCGGCTCCTCCCTCGGAGGCTACGGCGGACTCACCAAGGCGGCACCTTGAACTCTGAGGGTGATCGGGCTTCATTGAGGGTTTAGGGTTTAGGGTTGATGATAAAAACAATCCAGCATTACTAGTTAAGGGACCCTAAACTATGGGAATGATGGTCTATTCCTTATTTCTGGGTAACGCAGGATTTATATCATCAGCCGAAGGGCTTAATTGAGGGCTGTAGGTTTTAGTTATAAGGGTTTAGGGTTTAGGGTTCGGGGTTTGCGGTTCAGGGGAATTCGTCGGGGTTAAGGTAAGCGTTGGAATTTTGAGTGTCAAGTTACCCACTGACTAGGAGGTTGCCCCATCACCCTGAAACCCTAAACCCCAGAGCAAAACATAAGAAAACCCTAAACCCTAAACCCTAAACCCCAGAGCAAAACACAAGAAAACTAGTGCTCCCATGCCCTGGACCCTCAAGTCTCGAAGAACCCCCGAAGTCCCCAAAGAGCAGGACCAGAACAAAAATCCTCACACACACACACGCATACACTCGCACACAAAACCCTAAACCCTAAACCCTAAACCCTAAACCCTAAAACCTAAACCCTAAAGCCTAAACCCTAAGACGGTTGACGGGCCTGGCGAGCCCCAAGCCTCGCAGCTGAGGGCAGCCTTTCGCCGGGAAGCTGGGTTTACGATTTAGGGGTTTATAGGGGTTTAGGGTTTAGGGGCTTTGAGATTAGGGTTTTGGGGTTTTAGGGTTTAGGATGGGGATTTAGGTTTAGAGGCAGCGGTTTAGGGATTTAGGGGTTTAGGGATTTAGGGTGATTAGGGGTTTAGGGTTTGGTGTTTGTTTTAGGGAGTAGGGTTTCGCTAGGGGCCTCAATATAAGAGTCAAGTACAGTATATAGTATAGGTGTGCAAGCACCAAAACGGCGTACTATTGCTTTGGGAGCCTGAATAGCTAAACCTGCGTTTTGGGGTCTAGTTTTGTATAGGCATGAAGCGACTGTAAGGGGTATGAACTGCATCATAAGGCCAAGGGCAGGTTTTCTTAGGGTTGCAGAAATTCTAGAGGGTTCAGGGCTGAACTCAAGCTTCGCAGGAACTGATGTGGAAAGAGTGCGATTGAGTGCAGCTTCTGGTTAGGGTAACTTTAGACATATTCGCCAACAAGAACCCCAGGGAAGGGAAAGCACACCAGCTCTTCGTTCTTCCGCATGTAGAAAGTATAGATTTGTATATATATATATATATAGAGCAGGGCAAGGAAACCTTCGCAGGGTTTAGACCTGTTCGTGTTTAGGAAGACGTCTTTCAGAGTCTGGGAATTGGTATTTCAGGGAGTCACTCAGGGTTTAGGAAGTGACCTCCTTCACGTCTTTGCAGCTATAATAATCAATAATCTTTCTCTGGCCTAAACGAAACAGATAGTCCTACCAGTTAGCAGAGTCGAGGCTCTCAAATGCAAACCTTCAAAGCCCCCAACCTGCAATCCTAGAAACACATACCGCAAAGTAGCGTGCCTGCCGGAAGCACCCGGCACAGCTCACCAGCGGCTGCATCTCCCAAAGCATTGCCGCTGAGATCGAGCCTGGACGAAGCAGGGTTTTGGAGTTTAGAGTTTGACGCGAAATACGCTTGACACTAACGACAGGATTGTTGCCCTTCCCGCTTTCTTCCGATACTTGTTGCAGTCCTGACCATTCCGGTCTGTTGGATTGAGAAACTTATTGACTCGGCTCAGCCTGACACAATGTTGTTTCGTACTTTACGGCTGCACTGTGCAACACCCAAGAAGAGGGTGCTATTGTAGTGTGTCGTGTTGGGCTCCCATAGATGAAACAAAGGATTGTAGAGTTCTCACAGCTGTTCTCAGATGCTTACTCAAAGTTACGGTTCAGGCAATAGGGCGCGTGAGGGAAATCAAGGCACAATTGCGGCACATGGCACAAACTGGACAGACACAAAACACAAGGCCTTTTCGGCCTCGGAATGCGACCACCAATCATCGTGAATCTCCGGAGTACAAGGCCCAAGCCGTAAATTTCAAACCTTGACAACTAGACCTAAATGACTAAGCAATAACCGTGAAGGCTCGGTGTACTGATATAGTGTAACTAAAGATATAAAAGAGGCAGCTCTTACATGTGTGACCGTAACTGTACACCTACGATCACGCAAAACAAGTAATTTACATACTACACTATCCACTATATATATATATGTTTATATATGTATATGTATGTACTTATGGGTTTGTTTATGTACTATACAGATAGATATACATATACACAAAATAAACAGATGCAACGACTGCTATGCATATGTCCTTCAGCTAGATATCTGACTGACGGTGTCTGACGAATCATGCGCTTGTACACGTCAGCTTCTGTTTTATGTCGCTGTGCAACTGATGCCGAACCTGCTTTGGTTCAAGAAGACACCGTGTAGAATCTTTTAGGGTTTAGGGTTTAGGGTTTAGGCTCAAAGGTACTACACAACCCAGAGACACTCCACCTGCCCCATCAGGCTAAAACCTGATGTAGGGGCCTAAATAAGTACCACTACCATTCTGGGGGTTCCTTATTATGATTATAGTACAATGGGCCCCAAAACCCCATTCCAATTATTAAGGCAACCTATATTACCCTAAACCCTAAAACCTAAACCCTAAACCCTAAACCCTGGAAACCTAAACCCTAAACCCTAAACCCTGGAAGCCTGAACCCAAAGCCTGAACTCCTGAACCCCAGGCTCTGGGCCCTGGAACCTATACGGCTCCAGGTTTGAGGTTTAGGGTTTAGGGTCTAAGGTTTAAGTTTAGGGTTTAAGGGTTTAGTGTTTAAGGTTTTTCTTGGTTTAGGGTTTAAAGTTTAAGTTTGGGGTTTAGAGTTTAAGGTTTAAGTTTAGGGTCTTGGGTTTAGGGCTTAGGGTTTAAGGTTTAGGGTGTACCCTGAAAGCACTTCTTGGTCACCCTGCTCGGTGAGGTTTGGCAGAGCAGTGATGGCAGCACAAAGGAGTTCGGTGCTCGAGGCCTGCAAGATAGGGTTCAGGGTTTAGGGGGTTTAGGGGGTTTAGGGTTTAGGATTTAGGGAGTTTAAGGTTTAGGGGGTTTAGGGGGTTTAGGGTTTAGGTGTGGTCAGTGTAGTCGAAGTCTAACGTTTAGCCTTCTGCTTTGGTTTCTGAGAGGTGCCGTGTTGCATGGGACTGTTCTGAGTGAAGGGTTCCAGTGTGTCTTGCAAAGGCCACTACTATATGCATATATGTACGTACTGACATACGTATGTATTCACGCATGCTTGCTTATGCCTGCCAGTATGTATATGCCCTCTATCCTTTCGAGCCTTTCACAATCCGCCTCCATTGAGGTGGAGATTGCGGTGGCGATACACACTGCGCCGATGCAACACTTCTGAGGAAGCGGGCTTTGACAGATTACAACCGAATGTTTGCCCAAATGATACCACAAAGCAGTAGAGTAACCCTTATAAGACGTACTAGTTCTACTAACTAATCTCTGAACGTCCGGAGAGGCCCCCCCAATACCCCAAACTCTAACACCCTAAACTTTTAAGGTCGACGACCGCAAACCCTGAACCCCTCAACCATAAAAACCCTAAACCCTAAACCCTAAACCCCTCAACCATAACACCCTCAACTCCAAACTCTACCTCTTCTCAGCCCAGGCAACATGGCCTCGCGGCCCAGTCGATTGGATCCAAGACTCCTTATACAGTCCCCTAAGGGTCCAAGTAGTCCTTGTTTATGGTTTGAGGTGCCCAAAAAAGCCCCAAAGTCCTTAAATAATGGGTACTTGGACCCTTCGGGGTCTGCATTATAGTCTAGGGTTTAGGGTTCCGCTTTTGGTTAACTTGCAGGATCCTAGATATATAGCTGGCCAAACCCAAAAAAAGAGCTACAACGGAGACTACAGGTATTGATACAAAGGTACCTGAATTGCCGGACCGGGTCTATAAGATAGCCCCAATATGCTACAACCCATGACTCGAAACTGATTAGCCCAAACCTCTAATAGTCCAACAACACTACACCCTACATCCAGGCGTCTAAACCCTCGAATCCATAACCTAAACCCTAAACCCTAAACCCTAAACCCCATAACCCAACATAGCTTCAGCTGCATAAGGGGAGCTTGGGCCCAGGACTCATGGTCGAAGCTTCGTGCTCTCAGTTTAGGGTTTAGGGTTTGGGCGTTTAGGGCTTAGGGTCTGGGCGTTGAGGGCTTAGGGTTTGGGCGTTTAGGGTTTAGGGTTTGGGCGTTTAGGGTTTCGGGTTTAGGTGTTTAGGGCTTCGGGTAGTGGATATAGGTTTAGAGTTTAGGACCCTGGGTTTCGGGTGTACCATCAAAGTTCGATGCACCGCAGCGAGGATCGTAGCTGGTAGTGGCAGCAAGCAGTATCGATCCCCAGGCAGCAAACAGAAAAGCATACTTTCCCTGACTTCTTGAAGCCCGGTCAGAAATTGGAGGAAATGTTCTGAACGAGTATAGTAGAACAGAGTCAAGCAGAGTAGTATAGCATCATACATTTTAAGGTACATCACAGTGTTTTTGAATTTCGCATGCTTGCGAGCACAAGACAAACATGACGGTGCAAACCTTAACTGCCTGAACTCCACGACTCCCGCAGGCGTCGGGCTTCGCGGTGCGTATACTCTGCATGTGGCTCTGAAGGGGTTCAGGGTTTAGGGCTTTGGGGTTTAGGGTTTAGGGCTTCGGAGTGTTTAGTTTAGGGCTTAGGGCTTAGGGGACCACTTTTCAATATTCTGAGTCAGCATCAGTATGCACACCCTCCAGTGCGAGCCGGAGCGGCAACGTCTGCAGAGTCTCCGAGGGTCCGTGGCAGTAGGCCAGCGCCTGATTGCTGGTTGGGCAGTGCGCAGTCTATCAAGGGTCTGCGGTGGCCCTAAGGGTCCATGTGCCCACATAGTATATACATTGGCCTTAATGTAATCCCTATATAGGTACTTTAGGGCCCATGTATATGCTATATGAGTACATGGACCCTTAGGGTGGTGCTCTATGGAAAAATAGCACATGATAACCTTTGCACACACATAGTAGGGCTCAAGGTGCGAAAACAGATAAAGGGAGCTGAGTAAATACAGATGTAAAGACTCGCTCACGGTGTATACGCAGAGTGCATCCATGTATGTCCGTGTTTTTAGTTGTGGTGTTATACCTCGGTGCAAAAACTTGCCCCAAATGACAAAACATGTGCTCCCTTGCAGTATGCAGTCGTTGTTATGCCATGCTCCTGGACTTTGTTCAAGCCCATTTTGCGAGCATGAGCCCATGCTCCGCTTGCGGTCATCAGACAGCCTACCTAAGCTAGCGAATCACGTATATACACTGTAAAACTGTAAAGTAATGCATGTATCCCCGTGAGTCCCAAGGTCTCAGTGTGAGCATACTTCAGCAGCCAGTGGTCCACTGGCTGGAGCCTTATACTGTAGTGATAATAAGTATAGGTAATAGAAAAGGGTTTGGGTAAAGTATACTATAACTACAATATGGAACCCCCAAAACCCTGTTCTAACTATGAAGGCCCCTGCCTTGCATCTCGCACCAAGGCTCGGGCTTTCAACCCACGCTCCGTCAACAAATTCCCGGCCAGCTGGATGTGCTTTACACCTGTGGGAAAAAGGAAGGGCTTGAGACGTAGGAGTATGATGGAACAGCAGCAAGCAGACACAACCTCAACATCATGTGCTCTCTTTCTTGTATATGTGGGGGCCAGACAGAGAAACTCCCGACCGCTTCGAGAACAATCTTGGACACGGTGCGGATGCAAGCAGGGTGCCTTGCAAGCCGAATGGTACATCGGTCAGAGAGAACCTGGCCGCTTGACACAATACAGGGAGCTCAGAAGGAAGAGGGCCGAAAACCCCGGCCCAAAACCCTAACATAGGGCCCTCGAACCCTGAACCCAAAACCCCGAAACAAAAGGGCCTTAAAGAGTAGGATCGTCATCCGATTGACCGAAGCCGGGAACGAAGCTCTCTGTCTGTTTCGCCTACATCTCTGAAACGGTATGGCTCAAGGCTTCCAATTCCTCTAAACCTAAACCCCACCCATGAACCCTAAACCCTGGATCCAACGCAGGGCTTCGAGGTTAGCTTTGTGTGCTGCTGCTTGGTCCTCGGACCTTTGTTGGCAGACTTTGATCCCCACCAACACCTGCTGTCTGCGCGTGTGGCTCTTGTGCTATAGGGCCCTTACTGGTTGGAACAAGGTTTAGGGTTTGGCGTTTAGGGTTTGGAACAGGGTTTTTGGTGGATATCAAACCAGATTTATTATCAGGAGCCCACCAAAATTGTATGGGTAATTCTGTCGGCCCCTCATTACCAATCCCTAAGCAAAAGCCTCCATGCAACAAGGCTTGTACGGTTCAGCGGCGGCAGCTTGCTAGCAGTTCTGCAGAGCGAACTTTAGCATCATCGACCCCAGTGAAGCTAGTGGCAAAACACCGCGGATCTGGAAACACATAGCTTTGCCAACACCACTGGCAAAGGCAGTGATGCCCAGGTCAGTCGAGTCGGCCGTACCAGAAATAAGGACTTCATGTCACCAGCCCGCAATCTTCTCAGCATTCAGAGGTAAGCTATCCCGCACTCTGAAATCTCATTATTCCGAAAGCACACCGCAGACACTCACGATTCACCACCACCCAATTGCAGAAATCCGACTGGTATCTCTCGTGCCAAGTAATGAAAGATCAATCATCGCAGAACGGCCTCGTCTGCGTTTCGGGTGCAACGCCTCGAAAGGGGGACGATAGTTTAGTGTAAAACCACATACAGCATCTAGCCATGACATAGAAGGACCTGTTAGTTCCTTGGCCATGTCACGCCGTCTTGAGGCATGTGACTTTTATATCGCGTGAAGCACTTCTCAGAATTAGAGCATCCGTTGAAACATCCAAGCGCTGCTATGCACGATTTAGGGCTCAAGGTTTAAGGGTTTAGGGGTTGAGGTGTTTAGGCTAGGGTTTGGGGGTTCGGGGTGAAGGGTTTAGGATCTTGAACTTAGCAAAAGCTCCCTCCAGTATTCCCAAAACCAGAGGCAACGCTGGTCTGGTAGAACGATGCGCGAGCTCTTGTGTCTGGTGCTTAATTAGTAGGGAATGGGGGAATGGATCCCTATGATAGTCCCTTAAGGTCCCTTATAGTAGTCCCTATTCCCCCATTCCCTACTAAGCTCCAGGCAGTCTTTCGAAGAGGAGTTGCCGGAAGAAAGCATCCGGGCTCAATCGTAGTTATTTCTTGCACGCATATCATCCACTAGAATATCCACTGGGGTACCCCTAATAGGGCTCCAGTTAGGTTGCTAACCATAACTTAATGTGTGTGTATGTATATATATATATATATTGCCCCGGCCAACCCATTACTGAGGCAATCGGAGTGCCGGGGTGTGTTGTCAAGGCATTGGAGAGAATCACCTCGTGAAGCCGACTTCAAGCAATCTCGCAAACTGACACTAGGCCCTGTAAAGCCTAAGAACCCAAAACCCACTTTTTTTGTAGGTTCTTATTATAAACCATAATATTGGATTTATAGGGACCCTACAAAAAAGTAGGTTTTGGGTTCTTAAGGTATGGGTAATTTTCTAAATTACGGTCCTCTTTGGGGTCCTTTTTATAAGGGTGCCGTAATACATTGGGGACCGAAAAAAGGACACTAGTTTAGGGAACTACCCATAAAATGCTCGCAACTAACATCCTCTGAAGTCTCTGAAGCCCTATAAGGGTTCATATAAAAGATCCCAAAGGCCTGCCTGGGAAATACCTAGGAAACTACAGTCGTTCGTGTACACTACCCCTATGCTCCGTCGCAGACCCAAATCCGCACCCCTTGCCTCTGAAAACTGAACAGAAACCCCGATAAACCCCTGCATTCAAGAAGATGCAGAACCCTACAAGCCTGAAATCTCACCCCTCAGCCCCAAACCACCCTAAACCCTACAGTAGATCCCTATGTCCGGATGAAGCCCTGTCGGGTGCCCAGGCCATCATGCGCTTCCAAGAGAGCCTCGATGTAGTCATCCGTGATCGACCAGTCTGTCGTTTCTTCGGCCATTGATTTTAGGATTAGGCGTTCAGGGATGCTGTCGCCTCATGCTCGAAATGATCACACTAACATCATATCGTATGGCACCTGGTCCCAACTGCCTGAATGCATATATCCGGGCAGCTAGCATGTGCCGGATATATCGCTGTCAGTCCATCGTGCGACCACACTGGGGCAGTGTACTTGCGGGTCGTTTAGGATCATAGGGGCTTGTAGAGTTTATAAAGGGTTGAGGGCTGAGGGCGGTCTAGGGTGGAGGGCTTGACGGCTCAGGGTTTACGACTTTGAGGTGTCCGATTAGTAGGGGTACCTTATTTTGGGGTCCGATTATAATAGGGATCCTACTATTTAGGGTACTATATTAGGGTCCCCTATTTTCTGAAACCCCCACTTTGAGGTTGGTGACTTTGCAGATTCAGGCCCTGCTCAAGTCTCAGGGTGTGTGTTCAACTTGATGATGTATCCTAAACCCCAAAAACCTTAAACCCTACACCCTAAAACCCAAAAACCCTAAACCCTACACCCAAAAACCCTAAAAACCCTAAACCCTACACCCTAAAACCCTAAAAACCCTAAACCCTAAAACCCAAAAACCCTAAACCCTATGCCAATCAAACCCTAAAACCCTAAACCCTGGGATGGTGCTGCAGTGCTCATGCCAGGCTCAAATTTTCTGCAGGCTGCCGAGCATGTGCAGCGAGACCGTGCCAGCTCCATCTGTCTACCAATCAAAGGTTAGGTTCAAGGGTTAATGGTTAAGGGTTAAGGGTTTATAAGGGTTTTGGGTTTAGGGTGCGCAAGCGGAGACCACCAACATTGGGTGAAATGTTGAGGGTATGCTTCCCTGCTCGTTTGGCTTTCCGGTGTGACACCGATCAGATCCCTTGCACTCCCAAGAAACCACCTCAAAACTCCACGAGTGCACACGAAATTCCACATCAAGCAACTTGAATCTGGCGTCACTAAACCACCAGATTTCATTTCTTCAGCCTATAAGTAACATTAAATTATAACCCTAAACCCTATAGTCTTAAACCCTCAACCATCTGATTTAAGCAGGCTCGGAGCACTCTGGAAGTTCAGGTAACCGCCAGCAGCGCCTGCCGTGAACAGATACCATAAGTGTTTACGGATATAGGCATGAAGGCATAAGTCAACAGATACATGCATTGGGAATGTGAGTATACTGCTAGGTACAGGGACGCAGTTGTATTGGTATACAGGGTGTAGAGGCATGCATTCGTCCATAAATAAACAAATAAATACTATGTATATATTTTCTGGGATTTCCAAGCAGTCCGAGGAGTTCGCTGCCGAATTAACTTGCATGTTGGCCGCCGATGCTTCTAAAAGGCATCGAGAGCGGACTGAGCCAAAAGCTTGACGGCGCTCGGACCTGTACCGCATTCCCATTTAGGATTGCTGTCCAAGCTTGTCTGAGCGGCTCAGGAATAACCAGACTGAAGTCCCTCACAACGGCTGAAACGACGTAGTGGCATTGGTGCTGGCGCCATTCAGCTTCCCAGCTATCCTGCACCTGAAAAGTCACTACATTCGGGGTCCCGTTCTGAGGCTTGAGTTTAGACAGGCCTTCACGCCAGTCAAAATCCTCAAGCACTGCTTGAAAGGATCGAAAGGTCTGCACGGTCTTGTTGTGCAGCATCTCATCAGACTGGCATGACCATTGGCTGAGTCTGGTCTGGGCAATTGCCTCGCGGATATTGTGGGCTGTGCACGAGTCCCAAGGATCATCCGAGCCGTCCCCAGCTAGCTCTTCAAACTCCTCCGCAAGGCAATCAAGGATATCAATGATCTCTTGTGGGTAGAGAGGGTGCTGCCTCAGGCATGCTCGAACAGCTGTCTGGATGAGAGCGACCGTGGCACAGACATCATCGGAGAACATAATCTCACACATGCGGCGATATGCTGCGCGCTGCTCTGTGCCCCACCCTTGGTATGCCGCAGGCAGGGCAGCCACCTCAACTCGCTCTGGTGCTGCAAGTGTGTATGAGGAGCTCTCATGCTGTCTGCGCTTCTTACTACCAAAACCTGGCTGGACAGCATGCTGCCATCTGCCTGACGCCTGTAGTGCTGCAACGCAGAGGGGTGCTGCACGAAGGTGCGCAGCAAGCCTACCTTGTGTCCAGTATTCCGTGCTGCATGCAGCACAGAATGTGCCGTGGGCAACGTGCCGGTACTCGGCGACACGACCATGTACCTTGAACATGTGAGCCCCAAGGGCCGCTTTCGTGGAAAGTGTCTTATCGCAGACACTGCACTTCCATGGCATTGTCCATACAAGCGGCGCACATCGCTGTTGCAGAGTGCGATAGCAGTGCCATTGGCATAGCTTGGCAGCATTTTCTTGGCTCTGTGTTTCATGCGTTTGCATAAGCCTTTTGCGCAGGGTCCGTCGGAATCTCTGCGGACTGTCTTTGAGTAGGTGATACCACTCTGGCCACGCTGCACGCGTTACAGCCGGCCAATCTGACTGCACTGGCGCAACAAACCAAGCAAGGTCAGAACGAATCTGCGACAGCCATGCTTTTTCTTCCTGCAACATAGCCCAGAGGATCGGTGGCCCTGTGGCAGTCAGAGAGAGCAATAGGCTGAGCCGGGCTCTGAGTGCTATCAATTCGAGCTGCCAGCACCCTGTGCACCAGTGCGCTATCGGCAGAGGCATGTGAAAGATTCCATAGTCACCTGCCTCCTTGGCCAGGAGCCGACGGACGAGCTTTGAGTATCCACATGATAGAGCCTCCCATGCCTTGCCCACTGGTAGCCACTGGCCAACATTGAAGAAAGTTGGCGTGATCGCAGTTTCGAAGAGCGCTGCACGTGTGGCCAGTTCAAGCTGTGGATTCTGCAGCAAGAACACCTTGGCCGACTCAAACGCATTGGAGGCTTGCGCCAGGCGAAAACGGACTTCCGGTAGCATTGTGAGGCGGTGGTCGACAATGCCTCCTAAATGCTTATACTGGTCCGCAACCGGAACGCTGACGCCCAGGTCCTCCAACTTTAGCGACTGGGCCCCTGATGGGAAAAAGGTTCTTCGGGCCTTCTGATGCCCCTTGCCGACCAGACACAGCAACAAACTGGTTTTGCCAGGTTTCAAGTTCGGCGTTAAACCATGCCCCTCGCAGAAGCTAAGGACCAGCGAGCAAAGTCGCCGAGTGTTGCGTAAAAGTACGCAGGCATCATCCGCCTCCAGGGGGAAGGCGGAATCGTCGGCCCATGTCGCATCAGTCGCTGGCAGGGAGCATCCATCATCGCTGCGGTCAAAGACACCAGCCGCGGCATCGTAGGCAATTTCACTCCCGATCCCTTCAGCACAGACGTGCTCGTGAATCTGATGCAAGATTCGGGAGTAGACAAATGCAAACAGGAGATCCGCCCACGACTCTCCTGGGCGGCTACCCGCCGTTGAGCTGCACACACGTGTGCCATCAGAGTAGCGAGTGACGAACCACGTGTTCAAGTGGACGTCCTTTACCACCTGACGCAGGGAGTCCGGGAGGCCCGCTTGGCAAATGAGACCTCCTTCTTTGACAGTCTCCATCAACTCTTGCAGGTCTGCTCCGCTCAGGCCGAACCTACGAAACAATGAGATGACGGTACCGTCTGCTCGGATGTCTCCTACCGCCAACTCTCTTACAACTCTGTAATATGCAGCAGCCGTGTCCAAGAAAAGGACCGATGCGCTACGTTTGTGCTGCCGGCATCGGCGCAGGTGTGACAGAACAAACATAGACGCAAAAGAGACCGGCGCTCTGGGTCTGGAGCCCAGGTGAAGCGGATGGAGCTCATCCCGGGTGTGGGCCTGCGCTTTGTTGCGTAGGACCCGGTGGTAGGTTTTGCCAGCAAAGCTTGACACGAAGAGGCTTCTGTAATTTTCGACCGAACATTGCAGGCCTGATCGCTTGTAGGCTTCATACAGGATGCCACCTCTCCATTGCAGTGGCTGGCGCTGGAAGAGCATCGACTTGAGAATGAGCGGAAGAAGCAGTCGCGCACCTTCACTCGGAATCGAGCGCCAAACCTCCCCCGGGAGATTGTCTAAGCCCGCAGCTTTGTTCCTTGGGATGGTTCTGAGCACCGCCTCTACATCACGGTAGTTTGGTAGGAGCTCCCACGTCCAGTCAACTTCTTGCTCTATGCTACTGGATTGAGCTTCCTGGATGAAATGCTCAATATCAAGGGCCTGACCTTGCTCTTGTCGACCAAAATGCAGCATCCAAACCTCATCGCGGTTCTTTCTGGACATTGCAGGGGCGCCATTGTCTGGATGAAGCAACAGCGGGAGCGGTCGACAGACCGGTCGGCTCTTAGCCCCTCCCACGCCAGCTTGTTTCACTCTTTGAAGGACCTTGGCCGCGCCTTGATGCCCTTCACTGGCGACCTTCCGCAGGAAAGCATTTTTGGCTTGAGCTATTGCTCGCTTGATTTTTGCACTGGCAAAATTCAGGGCCCCTGAGGCTAGGGCATAGAGGAAACCTTGCTTACTAACTAGGGTCTCAACCCCAAAGTTTTCAGCATGTTGCCACTGCCGGAAGGCACGGCATAACAGGTCTGACCATAGGCCAACCCGATGCCTCGTGCGGCGCTTCATGCTCATCTTCTTGTCGCGAAGATCCCATACAAAGGGTGGGATATAGGATGCACGACTCTTTTTTGCAGGTGCAGGAAAAGATTTCTGTAGGGCCGTGTGCATGTATGTCTCAATAGCTCTGCAGTGCACATCTGGGTGTTCTTCCCAGGGCGGTTGGGGGAAGGCAGCCACAATCTGCCGCATGGTCTGTCTACCTTCGGCGGTCATCATAGCTTCGTTGTCGTAGCGAGGCCGCTGTAGCTTCCTTGCCTGCTGCATACGTCCGAAGTCCCCCTGGAGCTGTAGGAGGAGCAACTTATGGTCTTCCTGTGGGCTGCCGTTGTCAAAACTGCCATCGACAAAGGACTTGGCGTGTCCAACATCGGCCTTGCCTCCGACAAGGATATAATCGATGCGGTGGCATTGCCCATTAGGGTGGACGTATGTGGTAGAGTCCCCACAGTGCACCTGTTCAAAAGTGGACGGAACCCATACACCAGCATCCGCGAAGACTGCTGCGGCTTGCCAGCCCGTGTCATCAGCCTCCCCGAACTCTAGCCCTCCTGAGACCCCGCTGAACTCAACCGGGATTCTGCCATTTAGATCCAAGCCGCCCAAGACTAGATCCATATGCTTTAGTCTCTGGAGCCCAGCACCGAATGTCCGCAGGAAGTCCTTTCGCTCTGGACCTCTGCCGGTGTGTGGGCAGTGTCCGCTGACCAGGCCAATGCGCAAGTGACCTGTCGTCACCTGTAGAATGAGGAGGCGCGGGTCTTCATGAATAACTGAGATGTCGCCCTCGTCTATTTGCATTGGCCCTGTTTCAAGCTGCACTATCCCTAGTTTCCTGTGTATCCAGATCGCCGTACCCCAATGTGAGGCCGCGGCAGCATGGAGTCGAAGGTACACATTGGACTGAATCATGCCTGCTTCTGACTTAGTCTCTTGCATGCATACCACATTGGCTTGACGGCCATCAAGCTGCTCTTCAATGTACTTATGCTTGCCCTTTAACCCCTGTATATTCACCGTCGCAACGATTGCACGGAACTGAGTGGCGATCTTGCCTGTCAGCTTACCGGCATGGTGTGTGACAGGGACAAGGTGCTCTGGGCTGATGCAGGATTCCTTTAGAGCAGACATGTTCCAGCTGAGGCGTCCTTCATAGATAGGTACTGCGTGGCTGCGACGCATATCTTGTTCAACCGCAGCCCACGCAATGTTCTGCCCCTGGACATATCGACAGAGCTCATGCGGTGGGGAGAACCAGCACGTCCGTCCCTCGGCAGCGGAGCCGGCTATATGGTCTGCAAGGTCATTTCAGGGGTGGCCCGAGTGTCCCTTGCATGACATGGCCATAAGTGATATGGACACCATTTGTAGCTTTGGCGAGCATAGCAAGGTCATGCACAAATTCACCAAAAGTGTCGCTAGCTTGCCAAGTACCTTCTGCTGCCCAACCAGCAGCCATACAGTCAAAGAAAAAATGGGCTCGCACAACTGGGATCATGGAACGCATCTGTAGTGTCCACAGGATTGCAACTGCAATAGCTACGTTCTCCGCATGCAGAGCGAGGGGTCCTTCTGGATGCCAGGGACTTTGGTAGTTCCCTTGAAGCTGTGCACCTACTGCACCTAGGAGCGCAGACTGACCATCGCGGTGGGCAAGGATAGCTAGCCCGTAGCCACTGCTACTCTTGCCTTGGCTCGCGGAGCCGTCGGTGTAGACCTGGAAAAGCAGTTCTTGCGGGCCGTCTTGATCAAGAAGGAGTGGCCAAGCAGGCTGGCTTTGAAGCGTTCGCTGCGTGGTGGCAGGAAAGCCCAGATAGTCACTCTCTGGTGACAGGACCCAACCTGGTTGCCAAGCTTTCATGATATTTGCCAGGCAGTCCGGATCGTGCGGAAACCGCAGCTGCTCTTGGCTGATGTCAAAACTGGGCTGTGAGAGGAGGCTGTGAAGATCAAGGCGGCGGCCCTGCACAGGAATGTCTGGATCCCCGTCGCTGGGGCTCTGCCCCGCTTCAATTGGCGGCATATTGTGCCTAGATGGCATGCCGACCTCTGGCTCAAATGCTGTGGGGGCCCCGACAGCGAGAGCATCATAGTGCTCGAATAGAACTTCCAGGCAGGCTGCAGCAAGTGCCATAGCTGGACAGCCTGGCTTCTTGGCACTCTCCTCCAACAGAGTTTGGAGCTGGTACTCATCAGGTATAATCATGGGGCGGACGGCTCTGCACGGTGTGGGGAGCGGTCTCCTGTGGGCTTCTGTAGCAGCGTGGGCTGCGGCAACAGAAGAGTACCTTCCCCATTGTGGGGGATACACACCTTGTACAGGGCGAACAAGGGGATCACCTGCATGCAGATGTTTGGTCTGAACTGCTTGCACGGGCTCACACATGTGGTAAATTACCAAAAGGAATGCAGCAGCACGCAGCCTACCTTTGCTGACTATCATAAGTCCCCAGAATGGTCCTCCCCCGCAATGAGCGAGGGCTATGCTCTGGAGAAGGAGGAGCAGCAACAGGAGCACATTAGTGCCCATTTGCCAAGAACAATGGCTTAAGCAGGCTTTATGTCTGCGAGCAGGGCCCCCAAAGACTGTGTCTACCTCAGGTTCTTGTCCTGTGGCTTGTTGAGGATCATACGCGGTCGTCTCAGAAGTCTCTGAGCTGCTTTCCTCGTCTTCAGAGCTGTCCTCCGGCTCATCGTCAGGGTCGGACCCCGGGTCAGAGGCATCCGATGTGTGACTGCTTGCAAAGTCATGGAGGACAAAGTCAACAGTCAAGACCTCTCCGTTTTCAACAAGAAAGTACAAACCTTCATCTGTGTGACGCGGTCTCCCCTGAACTTGCACCCTGTACCCTGGTGGGCATCGACCCGCAAAGCGATCAACAATGTGTTGAGCCTGAACTAAACCATTTGTCGAAACATTCCACGTCATACCGAGCAGGACCGGACGCAGATCAAGGAGAAAAATGGTGTCGCTGCCACCGCCTGTTGCGTGTCTGAGCCGTCTTTGTGTAGCAACAACGACATGCTGCGCGAGAACCCCTACTTCACAGAAGTCAGAAACCCGAGGCACAGAAACCTGCACCTTTAGACCACTGACCTCATAATCGAGCTTTGCTGCAAGGTCGTTTCTGAGGAACTGACGCCGTTCGGTATGCAAACGGAAGAGGCAGGGCTCATCATCACTGAGTACATAAAGCCATCGTCCTTCCGGACCGATACGCGGCGCATCGTGATTCCAGCCGTCCGGGCTCTGCAACATATCATGCAGGTCGAACACCGGAAAATGAAGTTGCCGTCGCGGCGTGATGGTTATGCTGTGGCCCGTGCTTAGATCGGTGGTCTGGCCTGGGAGCAATGGTCCGGGTTGGTCATGAACGTACACTGTAACTGCAGCCTGTGGGAAGACATTGGCGAGCGCGAGAATGGACGCATAATCGATTCTCGGGGGAGCCGCCTTACTGAAGAGACGTCCATCGACTCTTGTCAGGTCAAACAGCACAAATACAGTGTCACTTGCCCATTCAGGAGATGCCAACAGGAGAGCGTATCCGGCAATTGGCTGAGGCCTGACCTCCCATAGCCGTGACATGCGAGTGCGCTGCGGCTCAGCTCTGGCCTGTTGAACCGCTGCAATGGCTCTGTCTACCGTGGTAGGAGCCCAGAGCTGCACAGTAACAGATTCCGGGATGTAGTCAGGGGTCAAGATGAGGAAATTGGGCACCACAGGTTGGGGAACCAAAAGGGCAGGACCGGGGCCCGGTTCTCTCAGTAAGTCTTGTGCTGGAACAAAAATGCCTCGCGGAACGCGCTCACCTATTGGTGTGTCGAGCAGCGCTTGCAGGCGCGCAAAACGCAGGCGAGGGTCATCGAAGATCTCATTTCCCGGTCTGGTCTCCGGGGCTTTGCAGGTAATCGGACCGTTGTATGTGCGCACCGCTTGGGCAGGTGGATCTCGCACGACTGCCTGCTGCCAGCCTACTGGTACGTTGTTCGTCAACTTTGCACAGTCGATGCTCTGCTTCTTTTCAATTGAGGGACCTCGACTTGTCTCACCTTCGACTGCGCAATTGCTTGGGAGCAATCCGCGCCCACTGCAGGGATGAGCTGGACAGGCCTGGCTCATTTGCCGCTCTTGACTTTCGTCGCCGTCCTCGTCATGGGCGTCTTCATCGGAGGAGTCGTCAGGACTGCTGGGAGGCGATACATCTTGCGCGGTTGGCTGTGGCACAAAGACGACAGTCAGGATCTGACCCTGTTGTAATCTAAGGACCCCCTCGTTCGGCTCCTGTCCGGCAATAGCAGCACTCCAACCCTGTGTGTGGTGCGCCTGAGCTGAGCCTGCCAATAAGAGAGGCAAAATTGTGCGTGCCATCCTCGGACCGAAGGACCTGCCAACCACAGAGAATGGCCCGACAGTCAAGAAGCGCAAGACTTGTCGTCACACTACCCGGGGATGCCGCTATGACAGTCCGACATGGCCAACCACACACCGATACATCTGCTGGCCTGGGCTTTCCAGGCTCAATGGCAAGATTGGGGCTGGACAGATCTAGCTGTTCTGCAATGACTTGCTGCACTTCCCGTCCCCTGGTTGGGTGCAGCTCGATGACCGTGCTGCGGGTGCCAACAACTACGTTGTATAAGCATGTGCTGCCTTCCCATGGGAAAGCCGGGCCTACTAACCAACCTTCCGGTCTGGTGAGCAATGCCGTAAAACTGGCGCACTGTGGAGCCTCTTGTGTCCCGCGTCTGACGGTAACAAGGTGTCCATGTCCGAGTGTGGTCTCTATGCCATCAGGTATGGGCATAAGATTGCCCGCCACAAAAACAGACACTTCAGCGTCAGCTGGGAGATTAGCACTAGCAAGCAGATTCCGTCTGCATGTCGGCTGAGCAACGCATGCTGCAAAGATCCTGCCATCAATGCTCCGGGTGTCAATGCACACAAGGCTCTGAGCAATGGGCCAGGGCGGTAAACCTATCAGAAGTCCCCAACCCGTGATTGGCTGTGGCCTGACCGCTAAAAGACCTGGAAAGAGGAATGCGCTTCGCTCGTCACGAGCACTTTGAACCCTTCTGATTGCGTCGTCCGGGTCAGAAGGGATACTCAACAGGACTGGGACTTGCTCATGAACAAAGTCCGGTGTAAGAATAGCGAAGGTGATGTGGGCAAGAACTCCGATGTCGGCTGCCCTGTTGATGACCTCACCTCCTGAAAATGGGTGCGGTGAGGGGACCCATGGTTGCACATATGGCCACGCATAACCCAGGTCAATTGTGACGCTTCTGAGGTCAAGGAGACGGAGCGCGGCTGCATGGGTCATCTCATCATGACAGAGAAACTTGGCTTGAATGGCAAGCTCTTGGTTGTCTTTTGACTGGTAGATTGTGGTCTGACCACGAGAGAGAGCATCAGGCCTGGCATCTGCAGCATTGGTAAGATCCCTCAGCGGGGTACGTGGTGTACAGTCCTCTGCAGAGCGATGCCTTAGCTCAGGTCCTGTTAGACACCGGCTTCCCACAGATGAATTGCCTGTGCAGCTGCTCCTGTCCGAGAGACGGCCAACCGGTGGTTGTGTGGTGGCTCCCTTTGTATCGCCTGTGTTGTTGTCACCTGCACCTCTGAGTAGTGCTGGGACAGGGCGTCTCACACCTCGACTTGTAGCAGTCTTTTTTCGCCGGAGACCAATACAGAAGGTATCCCCATCTCGCACCGAAATCTGACCCTGTAGTGACACGTTCGGGTACAGAAAGATACTGAAGTGGGGCGGGATTTTCACTTCCGCCTTGGCGATGATGTCCTGTATCTCAGCCTGGGCAGGGACATACCTCTGAATTGGGCGACGCAGGTCCAAGAAAATGAGCGCTCCCTCTCGGCCTGGATGGGGTCGGATGGGGTAGACCGCTAGTGTCTGGGTGCAAGCACAGCCACGCACTGCATAGTCAGCCAGGTGGGCTGTATGCGGTGCAATGAGGAGTACGGCATCCGGCGCACGTTCCACGAGCTCTGCTATTTCGGCACACGTTGCGTCTGGAATTGGCTCAGTATATCCGA